ATGCACAATCGCAATATCTGACAATAGGAAGGTTATCGGCTTCGCAATCGCTTTGAATCTTCTCATCCCCGCGGTGCCTTTGGTGGTTGGGTGCGCCATTTCGATCTTAGACGTCTTCGTCACGCTCTACTTTTATAACCCACAAGGGTCTATGAAGGGGCTTCGAATCTTCGAGTGCTTCATTGCGTGTCTGGTCCTGAGCGTCGTAGTCTGCTTCTGTATCCAACTCTCGATGATCCAGGAAACCCCTGTTGGAGACGTCTTCAAGGGCTACCTACCTTCCGAGGCCATCATTGAAGGTAAAGGGTATGTTGGCACTCTTCTGCAGCCCATCTCGACCTGGAAACAGCGCTAATTATGCCAAGCTTATATCAAGCTTGCGGGATTCTTGGTGCAACTGTCATGCCGCACAGCCTCTATCTTGGCTCCGGCATTGTGCAGCCCCGCCTGCGGGAGTTTGACGCCAAGAACGGCTTGCTCTCCACCGGCGCATCTACAGCACAACAGGACGGAGAAGATGTTGATAAGAGCCAGTATGTGCCCTCTCTCAAAGCCATACGCCATGCCATGGCCATGTCCTCCTTCGAACTTGGCATCGCCCTTTTCACTTTTGCTCTCTTTGTCAACTCAGCCATCCTTATCGTCGCAGGCGACTCCCTGTATGGGACTCCAAGTGCCTCCGATGCCGATATCTTCAGCATTCACGAGCTTCTGTCGGAGTCAATCTCGACCGCGGCTGGCACCATGTTTGCGCTGGCGCTGCTGCTCTCGGGCGTCTCAGCTGGTATAGTATGCACCATTGCTGGCCAGATGGTGTGTGAGGGTGCGCTGAGCTGGAAGATGCGACCGTGGCTGCGACGCTTGGTCACGAGAAGCATTAGCATCACGCCGAGTGTCATCATCGCAGGAGCTGTGGGTCGGCAGGGGATCAGCGCTGCGCTCAACGCGTCACAGGTTGTTCTCAGTGTCGTCCTTCCTTTTCTAACGGCACCGCTGATTTACTTTACCTGTTGCGGCAAGTTCATGACCGTTCAGGTCGAATCGGTACGCGATGAAGGTGAGCATACTGGTGGTGTTCGCGATGTGGCGGCTGGGGAACGCAGCATCACCACTGTCCAGTTTGCGAATTCATGGTACACCACTGTCATTGCTGTTCTGGTGTGGATTGCGATTGCTGGCATGAACGTTGCCAACCTTGTGCTCCTGGGTCAAGGCAACTGATGTTGGAAAAGGGGGACATTTGGTGGGAGGCTATCTTGCAGAGACGTCTGGAAGCTGGATGCAAGAAGCCTCGTTGCGCCAATTTCGTTCCCTTTCTCTATTCATCCTCCAGCACGACAACAAAAGACCTCTAGCTGCTGTGCGGTGAACCAATTGGTGTGGAATTGGACTGTCCTTCGAGCGCTATGTGGATGGATGAGTTGAAGTGGAGAGCGATGACACTGGACCCAGATCTCGGCAGTGCCTTCGAAGGTGGGAGAGAGATGGCCCGATCACGAATCTATATGGCGGCCAGCCTTCGATTTTCCGCCACAACGACCGGGATCATTACAAAGTTCATTGTTGAATGAGGAGCGCGCCCACAGTGACTGGGATCTGCCACTTCGGTAGGATTTCAGGCTCCATTGAAAAGAATCCTTCGTGAGATCTCAGGCTGCAGCTCGTTACAGCCCCTGCTGAATTAACGGACTGCTGCATTACGTCGAAACAGTAATCTGTGTTCTGGACATCGATAAGAATCCTTCGTCCATTTATAGACGTAGGTTGGTTTTGGTGGTCCTTATGATTGGCCCTTTTAGGTACGATTCCCCCCCCCTGGATGCCAAGCATGCCGCTGCAGGGTTCATGGGGGATTTGAGCTGGGCCGCTGGGTGCTGACCGCAACATGGCCCTGAATCCTCCTGAGCGCTCGGTATGTAAGCCGAAGCAGCTTCTTTATATCCAGTCTTCGAGACGCACTCAAACACCCTGGCTTACTTCCAACATCCTGTCTGACACCTGCCGAACGCTACATACGTTACTCCCTCGTTCCTTCGGATCTCGGGTTGAGCAACGGGTTTTGGCAAGGCATAATGGCAGCACGCAAGGACGAAGAGAAATGGACCGCTACACCCTCGGCGGTCTCGCTGCCATCAGATTCCTTCCTGCCCCATGCAGGCCCACAAGCACCGCCAGCCACAAGACGTCGGACAGTCATGACTCTGCTGCAGATGGCACTTTTCTACACCCTCGGTTCGTCGCCTCGATTCTTATCACAATACCGGGGGAACTGACAGAGAGACAGCGGTGGCAGTCATGGGTGCTCATCTGAGCCTCTTCCAGTACCTTGACGGGACGCCCGTCCGGTCTACGAGATTGACGCAAAGCATTGAAAATGCCATGGCTAGTTTCATGGCACTTGTCGCAGAGCTACTTCTCGTCTCTGGCGTAAGCATTGCCTACACCCAGTTGCTTTGGAGGTTCTTCCGCCAAAAGACACTGAGCGCTTTTGTTATCGACAAGCTCGTCTCGCTGCCGGACAGCCCTTGGGATCTTGCCCGGCCTCGGGTTATTATCAGTGCCATTGGGCCATGGCTGGCTGCCCTGGTCTGCGTGTTGATGCCTCTAGCTGGCATGTTTCCTCCTGGTTGCTTGACGGTTGAGTTTCGCAACAGCATCGTGCCCGTGACGCTATCAGCTGTGCCAACCCTGAACATCTCGTACTGGGGGCCTGGCAATTATCGTGGGTTTGTCGACCACGCCCTCTTCGACCTCAACGCCGATCTAGATTTCATGTAAGCGCCCCATCGCCCTTAAAATGTGTCTTCTCCGATTCTAATAGTCTACCGATGTATAGCAATGTCCAGCCTAAGCTTACTACCCTAGCCCGGACTGTTCTGGCGCAAGGCGAGCCTGTTGCACCTCCCACACCATGCAGTGGTCCATGCACATACGACATGCAGTTCGACGGCCCAAGCTTCGAATGCAAGCAGGTTAACGCGACAAAGTACACTTTATTCAAGCCGTGCACGGATGTCGTCTTCAAGGCAAAGTCACAAAGCGTTAGGGACGGTCTTTTGATCCGCAACAACTCAGTGCGGTTATCGTGGCACACTGAGAGAAACGATGAAGAGGCTTGCCGGAACTCGACACTCCGGACCATGGACTGTTCCGTGAAACTCGCGACCTACAACGTGAAGATGACGAATGAGGAGAATGGTACCCGCATCTTCAACACCAAAGTGACCGGAGAGAGGGAGTTTTGGGACGACGAGAACCCGATTCCCCTGCGCTTCTACGACTACTTCTACGACCGCGAGTCCGGGAATCTCATGGACGAGGCTGTCAACCAAACCCAGCTGCACAAGGTGTATGCCAACACACAAGCATACGCCATTCGAGAGGCTGCTGTTCAAGCTTTGGTAGGCGATGTCAGAAGATGTGAGTTATGCAAGAACTTGTCTTCTCTATTCCTTTTTTTAACCTGTCTATGTAGTTTCCGATGGTGGAGGTGACACAAGGACCGCCTTGCTCTGGCCCAACATGACGTACGTGGTCGGTAGCCCATATATTGGCATGACCGACAGGTTCAACCCGCAAGTATCCCTGACGCCCGAAACGGTGCAAAAGTACCTCCAAGACATCGTCATATCGACACTGTCACTTAATCCGAAGAACAAGCCTCTCTGGACGAACGGGCCTGACATTCCGGCTCTCGAGGGTGGCGCAACATATATCTTCGATTCGAAGCTGCAATTCTTCTTGCCTTATGGTGTGTGTCTGCTGGTGGCTGCTCTGGTCTACATCCATGGCATCTGGGCCATGTGGAAGAATGGACAACCGGCCGGAAAAAGCCTGTTGCAGTTTGCTACGGCGGTAAGCACGAGCAAGACTCTACAGGACACTTGCAGCTCGCGGACGGAGGGGGACGCGTTCGAGAATCTGAAAGAGATCAAGCTGCGATATGGTGTGGGAAGGTCGTTTGACAGCGCGGGCTCGACAATTTATGTCACTGGATTCGGAACTGTTGATGAAGTCGATTGTACAAAGTAGAGTAGTCGCCACTCTCTGGCAGGTACTTCATCTCTGAGGATAATCATCGACTAATTTGCCAAGAAGTAAGTACATAGCATCTCCATCTCAGTGCGTGGTATAGAATAGAGGGAAGAGGTCATCCACACGTGGTCCACAGGCCATAGAATATAGGTAGGGGGTCGGAATACACCTGAACTCCGGCCCTCTGCAGCTTGGGGGGCCTTGCGCAGCCTAAATGTATACGTTTCTCGTAGCCCTTAGCCCGTGGTCGACCCCCTGCTTGTCGACTCCGTAGGGTCGCCTGGCAGTTTGACCCCTGAAGTAAGGCAATAAGGGGACGAAACATGACGGCCAGCGTCAGTTTGTGTTACTCAATCTCTTTGCCGTTTCCAGCTCTTGTAATTGGCGGCCAACAAACGTTGCATTACAAGAAACTCCACGCCGCCATCTCTACCTTCCAAATGAAATTCCACGTGCAATGTCGCCTGCGGTCATTTCTGCTGGTAAGCGCAGAGTTTCTTCCAGATGTCAGTATAGATATCCAAGTGTTGCCTGAGGTAGCTGGGATTCAATAATGGCTTACAGCACTATTGGTGCCACATAATGGAAGGGTCCTTTCGGCGAGAGTCTTCCTCTATAAATTGCTCCTCCAAATCACTGAGGTACGATTGGCCCCCGCTGTTGCTGGGGAGTTGTTCTTCACCAAAACTTCAACGACCGCACGAGATGACCATGTTGAAGGTTGGAAAATTTGTTGAGGAATAGCCAGGAGTAAAACAACGTCTGAGGTTAGATATGCATCGAGCGATTAATATTTTCAAAGGATAAATGGCTGCGATTAATAGAGGAAGTACCGGTTTTTATTAAACAGTATGATAAGACATCACCTTTCTGGTTGCGGACCGTCATTCAGGGTAAATCGATACGTTGCTTTGAAGATAGGAATCGCAAATCTGACGCGAGATGTCATTGAAAGAGAAACGAGCATGTACAGCTCCGTGCGACCAGGTCAACGTCAACACATTGTTAGCCCGGAGAGCGTCTTCGAGGTGTCTGGGCCGAACGGTCGTCACGCCTGTTTTGTTCTGGAACTGATGGGACCGAACCTGAATACACTTCTACGACGGCACCCTCTCTTTTGCGTCGGGAAGCCATGGAGGCGTCGGTTTCCCAAGCAAGTCGCCAAGCAAATCCCGAAAGATATGTTGCCTGGGGTACAGTCCCTCCACGATTGTGGTATCGTGCACGGAGACCTCCACCCCGGCAACATTTTAGTGTACATTCCTCCACTCGAGGAGGCTGGCGTCTCTGAGGAGTCGCTTGCGCAGACCCCCGATGAAGGGACTCTTCTTATACGGCGGGATGGTTTGCAAGATTACTGGGCATCAACGTATCTGTTGGAACCAGCCCCGCTGATCGACCATGTTGTCCTTGACCGCGTTCCATTGGTCAAGATCACAGACCTCTGCGCTGGTAAGAAAAACCACCTGATTGTGGCCAAGTACGGAAATTTTTGTCATGCCCTGAAGCTCATGCTACTGCAGCATTTTTCCAATCATCTCCTGTGTCCAAACCCCTGACACCAGTTGCGCTTCGAGCTCCAGAGACCATTCTTGGCCTTGATCTAGGCAAGAGAACTGATATCTGGTGTGTAGGGTGCCTTGTGTTCGAGTTGATCACCGGTCGCCAGCTATTTGTCAGACTTGAGGCGCTACAGGGAGATGAATCCGATGAAACAACGAACGATGAACATCTCATCCAATTGAGTCAAGTCCTGGGGCCGATGCCTACCAGTCTGTTCACCCACTGGCAACGAGGGCCGCAGTATTACGGGTTAGAAGGAGAACTCATCATCGATGACGGAGAAAGCGATGTCAGTGATGATGAAAAAAGCAGCCAGGCAACACTAGAGTCAGGCGACAACCGCTCACAAGGCAACAGAGTCGGGTCAGAAAGAGGGTCGCCTCTTGCGACTGCTGAGTCTTTTGTCTCTCTCGAACAACAGCTCAGAAAGTGCAAGCCGGACGACATGGAGGAGGCTGAGGAGGCTATTGTTTTGGAGCTTCTGAGGTGGATTTTACAATATGACCCTGAGAAGCGCCCTTCGGCTGAAGAGATTCTGACACATCCTTGGTTCCTCTGAGTCAGTACGCTGATCAAGCTCCAACTGTGGTCATCAAAATCTTTCTAGGCGAAACATTCCCGTTGAAGCAGAATCTTTCTTTTTTTTTTCTTATTTCTATGTGAAATTCGATACTGATTAATAGCTGGCGGAAATAATTAAACATGACGATGGCTGGGCTGTTCAACACGCAAAGAGAATTCATGCTCAGTGATACGAAAGAAAATAATGATGGGGAGACAAGAAATAGGAAATCTTTGGGTTGGAGTTGCTTCCACATGACTAGTACGGACATTCATCCTAGTCCTCGCGATTTAATAACTTGCAACTCATCTTCCCGTCTAACCCCTTTTCGTGCCCTTGCCCTTGGGCATTCTGAACGCCCAATATAGTGCCAAGGCTGCGCTGACATTGAATAAAATATATGCCCACAGGACGCCAAAGTCTCGCCATCTGGTGGCGTATTTGATACTGTACCGCGCCAGGAATTGATTCGTGTTCGAGATGGGACAGTAAAGACACGTTTCCGTCGCGTTAGGTGTCAAAAGATTTCCGCCCGCAGCCTCAGCAAAGGCACCAAGAAACTCAAGGCAGTCCATCCCGCTTGGTGGTGCAAGTCGCAGTATCTCGCTTGCAGCGCAGGTAACCTCTGCGTTGGCGATAGCAGAGGACATGACGCCGCCGACGAGGTAGGTTCCGGGGGAAATATAGTACATGAAGGTCCAGAAAGTAGGAAGGTCTGATTTAGCAACGCCCACACTGACTTTGTTAGTGATGCGATTCAGTCGGGGTGTATTCTGAGTCAAGTTTCATCACTTACCCGCAGAAACAGAGGCAGAGCATCCATAGTAGGCTGGCAAACACACCGGCAGTGTCGGCAGTGGGGATCCACGTAATTGAAAAGTGCGAGAAAGTGCTGGTGAACAGCATAAACATCCAGAGGAAGAAGAACACGAGGAGACCGCGGGAATGTTCGTCCCCTGGCGAAGTGTTCATAACAAAGCCGACCGGATAATACCAACAGACGAAAATAATGACAGCCATGAGCGTGTTCCAAGCGGCCTCTATAAGTATGTTGGAGAGAATGAAGGCTACGCGGTTAGCTTTGGGTTTGAGACGGACACTTGGGTTGGCACTCACTATCCCAGCGGTAAATTTTTGACGGCCGCTCTCGAATCTCGAAGAGATCACGTTGTGGTACAAACATGGGCATTATCTGCTCGTTGAGATTTCCAAAAAGAACAAGAAACATGAAAATTGCAAAAAGTTGATTTTGCAGGCCTTGCATCGTGTTGGCTGCCCTGAAACTGAACCCGAGGTAGATGGACTAATGTTCTTAGCTTGAAATAAGACGCATGCAGCGCATCCCGCTTACCGAAATAGATATCATCAGTATTTTGGACCAGATGTAGGTGGGTGACCGCCAAAAGTGTCGGTGAGTTCGGACGAAGACTTGCCAGAATTGTGTCTGGAACGATGTGACGAACTCCCGATGTTGGGACTCATTGTCTTCGTTAGGAGTTGGCATGGTTTTCTCAAGAGCCCGAAGCCGGTTCAACTCACGCTTGACGGCTTCAAACTCGGGAGAATTTCGCCACATTCGATGCCAGTCAATAGAGAAGCTGGCGTCCGTCGAAGGCTTGATCACGTTGAGCATCCATTCAGCTGGGTTTGCCTCAGCAGGACACTTCGGGGCACCACCTCGCTCCATGTACTCTATGAGGGTCTTGGACGAATCTCCCAGTTCTGCATCATGTAAGTACACTCCTCTGACATTATGGTATTCGTCAGACTCACCTCCGAAATAGACCGTCTTGCCTCCTGGCGCAAGCAATAACAGGCGATCAAATTCACCAAACAGAATAGCCGACGGCTGATGGATGGTGCATAAAACTGCCTGTCCACTTCTCGTCAACTTCTTGATCAGCTGTATAATCGACCATGAAGTCTGCGAATCCAAGCCTGAAGTCGGCTCGTCGAGGAATAAGAGCAGTTGCGGTCTCGCTGCGAGTTCCACACCAATAGTGAGTCGTTTCCGCTGTTCAACGTTGAGGCCCTCGCCCGGCACGCCGATAACGGCGTCGGCAAAAGCTTGCATGTCGAGCATATCAATGACTTGATCGACGTAAGCGAGCTTCTCAGAGTAGGGGATTTCAGCGGACTGGCGAAGAATAGCGCTGAAGGAGAGAGCCTCGCGTACAGTAGCGGTGCTGAGATGGAGATCTTGCTGCTGTACGTAGCCTACGCGGTGTTGGAAAGAGGAGTCCGTCGGGATGCCGTTGATGAGGGTATCGCCGGTGACGACGCCCATAGTCACCCGGGTGGCGAGGACGTCGAGAAGGGTCGTCTTGCCGGCACCAGAAACACCCTGTTACATTAGCTTGGTCTGAAACTACAATTAAATGGTGGAGAAACAACATACCATGAGCGCTGTAGATGTTCCGGGCTTCACCCAGCCGTCAACCTGATCAAGGATCCGCCGGTCTTCACCCTTAATCTTGATGTCATAGGACAAATTCTCCCAATGGAACACCGCCGTCCCGGTTACTAGGGTTGGAGCCGAGCGATCGCTGGCGGGCTTTTGGGAAACAGCTGTCTGGCCAATAGGTTGTCCTTCAAGGTCACCTGCAGCCGTTTTGGTCGATTCTGACGGAAGCTTGCCCTTCGGGAAGACCAACACCTCACCCTTGCTTTTTGGCGGCTTGGCAAACTCAGCAGCCGTAGTGTAGGCGCTCAGAAAGAATATGAGAAATGTGATAAGAATACCGATATTTCTGACCCTTGCAGTTAGCCATGTCTGCCGCCGACCCTAGCCTCCAATGGTGACTTACCTCCACTTGTTCCCATGATAGTAAGCAAATGCCATGTTGATGTATCTGTCACCTTGCACCGTTCCGCTGCCTGGCAAGGCACCAACGACTGGACAAACTGTGGAGTCGCTAGGAAGGATATCGTAACCAGTTCCGTAAGGGATGATACCTTCGCAAGGAAACTCCATATCGTGAAACTCGTTTGCCATTAGAGCCTCAAAACCATAAGCTAGAGGGTTAATGTAGTTCATCCAGCGTGACCAACCACGCATGTACATTGTTGGGATAGTGAAACCTGTGTACACCATAAGGCCGATACTGAGTATGGCACTTGGGACCATCGCCTGGTGCGACGTTCGCGTAACGCAGGCAAGAGTGCGGTAGAGGGACGACATGATGAGCGTGACGATGAAGCTGGTCAGGCAGAAGAAGAAGAACGGACCGGGGTCTCGACGAAGATTGGCCATGAAGTAGACGATGAGGTTGAATATAAACATGTTTACCATCTTGTAGGGGAGGTCCATAAGGTAACTAGCAATAGCTTGTGTTGACTGATGGTAGAAGGCGTAGCGGTTGTGTTTCTCGACGATGGACCGCTCTTCGTAAACGGTGAGCACTTCGAGCTGGCTCGCGAAGGCGTTCAGAAGCAGGGCAAAGAATATGATGCCGCCTCGATAGTAAAAGCTCGAAGTGTCTTCCTTGAGGTTGTAGAACATGCTTCCAAGGATGAGCGCCATGATGAGATTGAAGAACAACTGGGCGATGGTGAAATATGGATCAGCAAGAAGTCTGTTCCAGCCGCGCCCAGAGTCAGCCCTCTTGTGGTCGCTAGGAGCTGATATAGGTTGAGCTGGGACGCTCGGATCGGGCTTGCTCGGCGCGGCGCGAAGCTTCGTACTCCGCAACCCGTTTTTATTTTGGGTGTAATCTTTCATATCCATCAATCTCCTGGAGTAGAGATTGTCGGTGACGGCTCGCCTTCCAACGCTGAGCAAACTCGTCGGGCGTGCGAAAGACCCGAGCTCCTATCCGTCTCTACCAT